TTGGTAATGCACTCTCAAGTGCTGATTAATTCAAAGCATCATAGCCTATAGTATGCCCACATACTCGATTATAGCTGTGGGGTTTTGTTTTGAATTTCTTATAGCCCAATTTTCAAGACATGAATGTACAGCAACATTTTTAGAGGTCACAGCAGAACACCCGCCATATACATATGCACACATACTCAGCTATGGCGCTTACAAGACTCCAAAATTAATATCATTTTCAAGACATCAACATAGCAGCAGAACAAACATATCACAATATCGGAATATAACTTCAAATAAAATAAATAAATATAGGCTACAGCAGAACACTTATGAGAATATATAGGCCTCCTGCCTATGTGATGATGTGAAGCAGACATTCAGATGAACTTCACAGTACAGAACAAGTTTGTAAAGGAAAAATATAATCCTACCTTAGTTTTCCAAAACCTCCCACAACACGGCCATTTCCTGGTGCATCTTCTCCCCTGTATCTCTTGTTTTGCTCCTGGTGTCTGTGACACGTCTGTGTCCTTTAGCAGTCCATGACATCACATAGGGGATTGGGTTGAATTTGTTCAAGATTGGGCCAACAAGGTTCAGAAAGAGTAGTCCTGATATGGTGGAGGTATGCAGGGAGGCGCCGGTTGCAGTGCAAATTGGATTCATTTGAGAAAATCCCCGCTGGCATTCTGCACTGGAGATGGGAATGGTGTTGACCGCCACCAACAGCTTTTTAAATCCATCTAGAATATCTCTTTTACCATTGGTGTCCCTGTAAATTTTCCACACAGACTCTACAGTTCTAAAACTGGATACCACCCAGCTAGTGTCCAAGATCCTGCCGATTTGCAGAGCTGAATATCTAAACTCTCTGCGCACTCCCTCAGCTCCATTAGTTTTTGGTTGGATACGCTATGAAGCTCACATAGCTTGTCCATAAGTATTTTTAAACGATTGATAGCTCCCATCTCTTTTACTACATCGCCTACTGCGAGCTCAAGCCTGTGTGCCGAGCAGTGCCAAACCGTTATATTAGGGAAGAGGGCCTGGAGCCTTGTTGCTACTCCGCTCTTGCGTCCCAGCATGACAGACGCACCATCACACGTAATTCCTCAGTAAACTTCACAACATCTAATGCATTTAACAGATTACTGACAATTCCCCCAGCAGATAAATCATCCAGTTCCACAAGATCAATAAAAATGTTTGCAGGTACAGTATGTCCATACAGTGAGGGAAGAAAGTATTTGATCCCCTGCTGATTTTGTACGTTTGCCCACTGACAAAGAAATGATCAGTCTATAATTTTAATGGTAGGTTTATTTGAACAGTGAGAGACAGAATAACAACAAAAATATCCAGAAAAACGCATGTCAAAAATATTATACATTGATTTGCATTTTAATGAGGGAAATAAGTATTTGACCCCCTCTCAATCAGAAAGATTTCTGGCTCCCAGGTGTCTTTTATACAGGTAACGAGCTGAGATTAGGAGCACACTCTTAAAGGGAGTGCTCCTAATCTCAGTTTGTTACCTGTATAAAAGACACCTGTCCACAGAAGCAATCAATCAATCAGATTCCAAACTCTCCACCATAGCCAAGACCAAAGAGCTCTCCAAGGATGTCAGGGACAAGATTGTAGACCTACACAAGGCTGGAATGGGCTACAAGACCATCGCCAAGCAGCTTGGCGAGAAGGTGACAACAGTTGGTGCGATTATTCGCAAATGGAAGAAACACAAAATAACTATCAATCTCCCTCGGCCTGGGGCTTCATGCAAGATGGGCGGCAGGTAGCTTGTGGTTAAGAGCGTTGTGGCAGTAACCGAAAGGTCGCTGGTTCTAATCCCTGAGCCGACTAGGTGAAAAATCTGTTGATGTGCCCTTGAGCAAGGCACTTAACCCTAATTGCTCCTGTAAGTCGCTCTGGATAAGAGTGTCTGCTAAATGACTAAAATGTAAAAATGTAAAATGTAAGATCTCACCTCTTGGAGTTGCAATGATCATGAGAACGGTGAGGAATCAGCCCAGAACTACAGGGGAGGATATTGTCAATGATCTCAAGGCAGCTGGGACCATAGTCACCAGGAAAACAATTGGTAACACACTACGCCGTGAAGGACTGAAATCCTGCAGCGCCCGCAAGGTCCCCCTGCTCAAGAAAGCACATATACAGGCCCGTCTGAAGTTTGCCAATGAACATCTGAATGATTCAGAGGAGAACTGGGTGAAAGTGTTGTGGTCAGATGAGACCAAAATCGAGCTCTTTGGCATGAACTCAACTCGCTGTGTTTGTTGCCTATGACCCCAAGAACACCATCCCCACCGTCAAACATGGAGGTGGAAACATTATGTTTATTTCATGGCAAAGAGGGACTATGCAATTCATTGCAATTCATCGCAATTCATCTGATCACTCTTCATAACATTCTGGAGTATAAGCAAATTGCCATCATAAAAACTGAGACAGCAGACTTTGTGAAATTAATATACTTTTGACCACTCAACTTTCCACCCACTCTTTTGCTAGTTTCATCCCTACAGTCTTTTCTGGACCCAAGCTACCTACCTTTTTGCATGTTGTACTGCCCAGCCAATTTTGCATGATATGCCAGGGATTATAGGTTTGCTTGTTCTTGAACTGATCCTCTGTCCAAATTGCACCTGCTCCGGGCACTTCATCATCGGTGGATGCATTGCCCCCCCACCCGGCTCCCCGTCTGCCTCTCTAGTAGGCTGGTGATGCGGAACTGAGAGGAGTGAGGGGCAAACTATTCCTGATGGCGATGCCTTAGCTAGCAGCGCTGCTAGCTAAGGCATCGCCATCAGGAATAGTTTGCCCTTCACTCCTCTCATCCGGCACTGACAGTACTCTGGCTCGTTTCGGGTTCGATTCACCATCTTTCTCTGGATTTTTGGGCTTAAAAAATGTCAAACTCGATAGCCTTTACTTATCCTTTTTTGATTTCCCACGTTTCAAATTCAGTATGGTGACAACTAGCCTAGGCTACGGGACGTGATTACGTAGGGACCTCTTCACTAACTGACCAGCACTGCCAAGACCTGTTTCAAGATCAGGACCACCATGCTTTTACGTGATGTTTTTTCTGGGGGGTGGGAGAAATAACGAGGAGGCAACTTGATTTAACTCTGAACGCTTTTATTAGAATGTTTATAGTGCAAACAGTGACATTATTTTATAAATCATGTTGAGAGCCGAGCAAATAGGTGCCAGAACGGACAAAGTCAAATCTGAGAGGTGCCGGATCTTGTTCTGGCAGGATCCAGCTCAAATTAAGCACTGGTCTGCTTTGAACACACCGACTGCATCATTGCGTTTTCGTACACCAGAAGTACATTAATTTCCAATGGAACACTGCGTTTGC